CCGGAGGCCCTGCTTTTCTTTTTGTGGTGTGCTTTTTCCCTGGGGAGTTGCTAGGTTGCGTGTGGTTCTTCTCCTCCCTACTGTCTGTTTTCTAATTTGCCGTATGCGTTGGGACACTGTGTAGTTGGGACTGGCCGGCATCTTGGGTGAGCTTCTCTGCTCTCCTCTGGTTCCTCCAGGAGTCATCTGTCAGTTTCAAGCAGTCTTTACTGGAGAAAGGTCCCTGTTCTAAATGCCGATGTGGGGACACAACTCCCCTGTGCGCCTGGTCTGCCCCAGCGGTGGGTTCCTGCTCCCCCTCTGGGCTTGGACTGCAGGCCAGAGGGGGTCTGGCGTGGGCGAACTTCCCCCGCTCACCTCTGGCTCCTGAGGAAGCCTTCTGCAGGTAGTCTTTACTGAAGAAATGTCCTGTTCTAAGATGGTGATGTGGGACACACTCCTGTGCGTCCGGTCTCAGGTACACTCTTCTGCGCACCTGGTCTGCCCCGGCTGTGGGTGCTCGCTCCCCTGTGGGCTCAGACTACTGGTCGGAAGGGGCCCGGCGTGGGCTAACTCCCCAGCTGGCCACTGGCTCCTCTAGGCGCCTCTGCTGGCTTCAAGTCGCTAGATGGTGCCAGAGATCTCTCCTGGAGCCCTTGGGGAGCTGATTTTCCACCCCGTGGGACAGGGAATAGAGCGGGAATGGTAGGGTAAACCTCAACGGCTTTGGGGTGCTGTGTCTGCCTTGTGCCCACCATCGTGGGGAACCCACGCCCCTAGTTTCGTGCCCCGGTGTCAGTTCCAAAGCCCTCAGTTCCAGGGCTCAGGCTGTAGCCCAGTTCAGTGGCGCGGGAATGGCGCCTTTTGAATCCCGCCCCCGTGCCTGGGCGCCTGGGCCTGCTCACTCAGTGAGGGCCTCCGTGCGTCTCCCCGCAAGCCTAGGTCGCAGGCGCAGGGACCTGGGCAGCTGCGATCTGGATCCGCGTTTGCTTTTCAACTGCACTGCTTTTCCATGCGCGATCCGGATTCCGATCTGCACTTGGTTTTCCAGCGCGCCGCTGTTCCGCGCAATCCTGACCGCAATCCGCGCCTGTTTTTCCAGCGCGCCGCCTTTCGCGCAGCTTACCGGGCGGCCAGGGCTGTGTGCTGGTGCTGGTCTCCTCCCCGGGGGCGGGGCTCTCTTTAATGGCGCCCGGAGCTCACCTCAGCGGCGGATCCTGCAGGGTTCTCCACAGCTCCCGTTCACGGGTGTGGTGGCTGAGATAGTTCCTTTCCCGCTTGCTGCGTCCTTTGTTCTTGTTGGTCGTTTTAGTTTGTTGTTTTCCTCCTCTCTGCCGGTCGGAGAGCGCCGACTCTGTGGGCGGGGGAGGGGAGCAGGGTTCTGCGCTTCCCTCCCTTCTGGTCCTCTTTTATGGCCACTTTCTTCTTCGGGTAGTTTGCTGGCGTCACCCGTTTATCTTCCGTGTCCCGGTTCTCACTGGGACCTGCCGCTTTTCCTCCCTATTAACTTTTTTTAATGGGAGATCTTACTCGCAGCGTCTCCTCTCCGCCATGTTTGCTCCGCCCCCTCCTTCCTGTTTTATTTATTTATTTATTTATTTTTAAAAGATTTATTTATTTATTTGTTTGTTTGTTTATTTATTTATACAAGCACTGGGTACAGTCAGAAGCGCGGGAGGGTGAGAGAATTCACCAGAGCCAGAGCGGGGAGCAGAGCAGGCAGAAGGACCGAAGTACACTGCTGAGGGGAGCAGCGGGCGGCAGGAGAGGTCTGCGCGCCATGTGGGACCCTCCTCCGGTGGCCGGGGAGCAGCCGGGGATCGAACTGGCGCTGCAGAGGCTGCGGGCAGCTTTGCAACCCAGCGCTCAACCGTTGCGCCACCGGGAGACCCCTTCCTGTTTTATTTTAATTGAGGTTTTCTATAATTATTTTGAGTCTATAATTATTTGAGTTCAAATTTCTATTTTTACGTTATTATAAATTAAAAAAATTAATTTTGTTATTCACCCATAGATCCTAACTTATTTCTAAATTTTATACCTTTCTTGACTTTACTCAGTCAAAAATAAGGACCCAAAAAAAGAAAAGCTGATAAGAGTGTGAAAGTGAGTCTTTCTACTTCCTGTCTGCTTTTCCTTTGTATATTAATAATTAAAAACAAGGAAGCAGATACAATAAAATTAAAACAAAACAGAAGCATTCAATTGGATTGCAAACTATCTGATACAAGTACTTTTCTGGTCGGATACTGTAAATTTCCAGATTTAGTCACTCAAAAGCCGAAGAGTCAATACTCTCATCTCATTACTAGGCAAAAGCCAAAGTAAAACAGCAATGGCCGGGGAAAAGATGGGTCTAGTCCTCCAAATAGGATGGTTCTTTCTATTTGCCTTTAGGCCTACTGTCACAAACTGGCTTCCTCAGCTAGTTTGGTACACTCAATAGTTCTAGAACCCCTGGTAAAGAGGCTGAGAACAAAAAAACAGGGACGGAAAAAACAGTAGGGGAGGGAATTTAGGGAATATAAAAAGAAAAAAAAAAGTGAAAATAGGAAGAAAAAAAAATGGTGAGTATGTTGCCAGAGTGGAAAAAAAGAAGCCCAAGTGATGCTCACAGAGGTAGAACCTGCAGCATCGCAGAATTCAGCAGATCTCTCCGGAGAGGAAGCAATACTGCGCATCTTCAATCCTGGTTTCATAATCAAAAACACTAGTCTTTTTACTATCAATCTTCCAAAAATGTCTAAATAAGGATAGTCATAACAGGTATGTATACTGAGCTTATTATTAAAAAGAATTTTAAAGATAACATTTTATCTACTTTGAACTTCCTGATCATTTAGTTGAATGGTCCATTCCATGCAATGGACAAATTTGAATTGCAATGGTGTTTGAGTTCATATATCTGTGTGGTACAGTGAATTACTATCATAGGATTGTACACCCATATTTCTGCATGTGATTTCAGTGTCTCCCAGTAGATTAAGTAGATGGAGCCTCTTTCTCTCCTAAATGACCCTATGGTCCTATGACTTGCTTTGGTCAATGCAATGTAGTGGACATGATATAAGCAGAGGTTTCATATAGGTTCACATAATTTGATATGGCCTCTGTGGGTCTGATATTTGCCAGGTGAAAAGCATGCCCTGATTAACTGCTGGAACCAGAATGAGAGGCTGTGGGAAATCTTGAACCCAATCCTCAAATGCCTGACAGGCATGTGAATGAGAAATAAATGTCTGAGCCATTAATATTTGGGGGCAGTTTGTTGTGCAGCTTTATCACAGCAGAAACCTAAAATGCCTTACAGTGATTATTTTCTCTTTGTTAATTCTTATAGAATTGAGAGAGGCCATTTCTCTTACCTTAGAGGTCTCTAATCAAAATTTGACTTTAGAGTTTTTCCAACCTGATTCAAGTATAGAAGTCTTTCTCTACTTGGAAGACAAAATTTAAACTGTTATCCCCAAATACACACACTCAATTCATTTATCTCTTTGACTTTTAAATTACCAAACAGCTCCCAGAGTCTAACTGGGTATTTATCCTATTTGAAAAGTCCATTTTCTAATTTGGGGGGGTGGGGGCAAGAGTATGACACTGTACCTGCATGTTTTGCTTGCTTTGTATTCTCAATCTCTTCCAAGGCTCCAGACCATTTTTTCTTAGCAAGACCCTTTCATAATGTTCTTTGGCTATTGCTTCCATCTGCTGGTTTCTCTTAATTCTCTTCTGCTTCTCTAGTTCTTTCTGTGGGGAAAAAACAAAACGAAACACACACATAAAAATGCCGAGGAGGGATGGAGGGAACAAGATGGTGACAGGAGCTCCTGAACTTTCCTCCTCCCTCAGATGCATTAAATTGTGAAGCTAGACATGGAGAAATTAATTCCTTCTGAAAGCAGTTCAGCAGCTAGCTGAGTGACTGATACATATTGAGCAAAACAGAAAATTCCCACCTAGAAATGGGTAGAAAAAACTAAGACACATTCTTGCCATAAACCACATCCCAGGCTCTGTAATGAGAGGGCAACTTCAACTCCCTGCTTCTCCCTGAGAGTAAAGGATTTAGACTGCACATTTAGCATCCCAACTTTTGAGACAAAATTCCTGCCTCTGAACATCTAATTCTGAAACACCAAACTCTGAACACTAATGCTTGTGTCTGTGAAACACACAAGATTACAGCAAAGAATCACTTCTTAATGGGTGTGTTAGTACTAGTTTTGCATATGGCCTATCTAGGTCTCAGCTTAGAAGGATCAGGGAAAGAAAAGCCCCCCTCCTAGTCTTTCCCTGAAAGGAGTTTGACTAGATACTTTACAGGCTGCTGTCTGAGAGCCTGGCTTCTAATTCAGTTCCTGTCTGAGGGCTGACTGTGATCCTCCCTAGAGACAGGAAAGCCACTGAACACTTCCCTATCTTTTTCCAGCTTGCTTCAACAATTAAACCAAAAAACACATCAAAACAAAAACAAACAGACAATTATAAATCAGAGACATCCTGCAGGGGAGGAGGAGGGAGAGGGATCAGAGGGAGGGAAGAGCACAGGGGACTGAGGTGATGGTGCACGGGTGCATTGGTGAAGAAAATTCTATGAGGACTAACCTGGTGTGGGAGGGAACCAAACATTGTTTAAAAATGAGCAGTGATGTAAAAAATATATAAAATAAATTAAAAAAAACAATTAAGCCAGATTGTCAGCATCTCTCTGGCAGGAGCTTGTGCATACTTCTGATGCCCCAACTTTTGTAGCTGCCACTTAAGAGATAGTTCCTTGGATTGCTTTGCTCTGACAGCCAGTGACGTGTGTCGTCACAAGTCCCGCAGACCACAACAAAGAAGCAATCTTGACATGAACGCAGCAGCATCCCGCCCTGTGGCTCTAAACCTGGGCTCAGTGCAGAGGAAACAAGCAAAAATGTACCTCTCCTAGTTTCTCCCTGGAAGGGGTTTAACTACATTTCAGCTGCTGCCTCTAAGCAGCATCCAATCCATACAGGTGCTGACTATAATCCTGCCCTTGGGACACTGTAGGCTTGGGCATATGCTCAACTACTGGAAGCGACTGAGAACAATGACAGTGATTGGGACAATCACAAATGATTGCGAGACAACCAAGAGCTTGGGCCAGGTTGAACTACAAGGTTCATCTCCTACATGAGACCACTGTCAAGACAGGGAGGAGGGCTGTTTCATCTCATGCACAGAAACCAACACAGGGTGTCAAGGAAAAGAAAGAAACAGGGTAATATGTTTCAATCAAAACCAGTCTTTATGATATGGAGATAAGTGATTTACCCAAGAGTTCAAAATAATGGCCTTAGAGATGCTTGCTGAGTTCAAGACATAAATGCATGAAGAAAAAGAATTTCGACAAGGACAGAGAACCAAGCAGTAATCAAACACAACAAACACAATGTGTTCACACAATGTAGAAGGACAAAATGACACTGAACTGAAAAATTCAACAGAGGGATTCCACAATGAACACTGTGTAAATTATGGTAACAGAACTCTGAAACTTGAAAAAAGGGGAGCAATTCCTCCAATTGTGAGGAAAAGTTAAAAGTTGGTCATAGCCCTATAAGAATTAGGGTTATGCACATTTTCAGATTTATTAGTCACTGTCCACAGACATGATTTATGTCTCACCAAGTAACTAAAAAATAAAATAACCAGTTATAATAGCAGTCAGTATTTTCCCTTCAGCATTCATGGAGAACTTAGCAATGCAGACCCTTCCTTTAGATTCTGGGGTAGAGATTTATATGCCACTGCCTTGTTCGAAGTTAAAGACACCTCACTAAAAGTCTAGAAAAACATTCTTACACCACGTTATTTAAGTGATGAACGATAAGTCAATATACAAGTTAAAGGCATTTGATCATTAAAAGGCCCTTATGCCCCCCTCCAATATGAAACATTATCACAGATGACAGAAGATCTCATGATGAAGACTGTGGTAATGAAAGGAGAAATCTGCTCAAAATATGAAATCAGAATTCCTTATTATAGAGAATAAGTATTATATAGAAAGTTTAGAAAATCAGGAAAAATACAGAAACGGAAACGCCATCTCTCATCCTCCAACCTATAGCTAACATTTTGACATGTTTCTTTTGGGCCCTTTTTATGCTTATTTTAACGTAATTGTAAAATTTTGTGGTGTTCCCCTCTGTTTCACAATAAAATGTGAGTACTTTCCTGCACCATAAATAGAAAAATAAAAGCCACTCCCTCCTCTAGGAGGAGAAAGTTAAACCATTCCAGATGATGCACTCAGAACAGATACCCCAACAGAGATATCCTAGCTACCCTAAGGCAGAACTCCACCCCACATAGGCTGCTTGAGAAATAGGACAGAAACTTAATAGTCTACTACACAGATGCCATTTCTTTCTCTTTAATGAAAATAGCCTAAAATAAAGGTGAGAGGAAAAGGATACTACTTAAAAATGGTAAGTGGTAGCAATTGACAACCATTATGAAAGTCACACAGAAAAAGCAGAGATTTCAGACTGCATTCATGCCAGGGGCCTCTAGGTAGTATAAATATAACAACATCGAATTTAAGCTGCTGCTTCTTTATTTCCCATAATTTCACTTCAGGAAAGGGACAGTGGTGTATTACTGATTCTGACAAGCTCCGTAATTGCCTGAGCTTTCGGGGGGGGGGGGAAATAAGACCGAGAACACCGTAACATTTCTAATATGGAAGGAGATTTACTCTAAGCTTCGAATCAAAATGATGTATTTCTGGGCAAATTTATCAAGATGAAATATCCATATTCTCTAAAACCGTAAGCCAAAATTACCTTTATAGTCTTTATTTCAGACACTTGAGATGTGGAATTGAATGGCCAGAAATAAAAAATTATGTATAAGAATTTTCTCGTGAGTAGCAAAGGGAAGTCAAGGGCTAAGTAGGAAGGAAAGTAGAAACATCCACTGGGTGTGCCTGTAGCACCCAGACAACACTTGCGACCTGCAGACAGGAATAGAACACACACCATAACCCTCTGGAGAAGCTCTTTGGCCAAAATAACACTGTTCACAGGCACGGCTAAGTTATGGTGTAACTATCTTCTTAGAATTACATTTCTACGGCTGATGTTGTGAGTTCCAAAGGAAATTTTTGGATGGATTTGGGGAAAATAACATTTTTTAAAGTTTGCTTTACCATGAGAAAACAGAAAAATATTTAATAAATTAGAGATCTGTTTGAGTAAAACTTGTAAGCATATTTCCTCCCTTAATTAAGGATTCCCCAATAGAACCGACTGTATTTTGTTGTTATTCCCACGTTTTCCATTACCTTGTATACAATATGTCTGTAATAAGACCTGCAAGGTTTTCTGGGAGGACCACATGAAACGATGCAGACTGCTGTGAGACAGCATTTTGTTCACTTAGGCTAAACATGGATACAAAATCACAATTTGTTAATGGCATACCAAAATCTGACTCATTTGAATGTGTACCTATAATCAGTCAATTCTGCTTTGGAAGATCAGGAATTATAGCAACAATTAAGAGTAAAGGGCTTCCCCTAACTCTCTGGCCTCTGTCCATTTAAGCACTCTCCTCTCCCCCCTTTCCTTTTGCTCTTGACTATATCTCCACTTATGCAGTCCTGTAACTTACACATTTTGGTCTCTCATATCACGAATTTCTCCCAAACTACTGGCTAATCAATAAGCAAATATGTGCTGCTATCTCTCATCTTTAAAAAACAAAACAAAACCCCCAGTCACCAACAAACAAAATCCTTCTTTGATCCAATGTGGTCCCTATCTGTAGTAATGGTCCCTGCTTCTTTGCCTCTCATGTTCTCCTCCACTCACTGGAATGGAGCTCCTTTCCCAGCATTCCACAGAAAACACTCTTGTCTAGGTCACAAATAACCTCCATGTTGCCAAATCAAAGAGTTTGTCTGTCCTTTTTAAATACCACATAAGCTAGTAAGGTAACTAATGCTGAAATTCTGGTGAATTGCTTGAGGCCAAGGGTGAGTCAGGATGAGAGGGTAGACCTCCTGGGGGTCTCAGTCCTCGGGGACTTCCCACCTTTTTGCCAGTTTTTGCTCCAGAAACCCTACCAGGCTCTCACAGACAGGATTAGGAAGATAATCCCAAGTAAATAATAAGTAAAATAATCCCAGGTAAAGTTCCCACCATGGCTCTGGCTGGGGGAGAGGAATAGAAGGTATTATAAAATCTGCTCAGGTCATTCTCCCTTAGGAGACAAAAGGTTCCATCTGTAAGCAGGACCATCTGTGGGCACCAGTGGAATACACTACAGCTGAGGGAGGGAACTTGACTTAGACCCATCCCCCCATCACAGGGAAGGATTTTTAAGGTCACAGACTGAAAGTGGCAGATACTGAAAGAAGGGCATGAAGGGGGAGGGAAGAACTCCACCCCTGAAGCAGTAGAAATTCTTGTGAATATCTAATGCTTTGTACTCCACAGACTGAAACTAAATCAAAACTTTAGAGAATGACCCCCCCTCATTCACACCCCACCACCACACTAACAAACCTCCATAATAATAGTGCAGTATAACCTGGAGAGCTGTAAGAGACAGACTCTCTGGGGAGCAACACAAAGGGAAGACATAAAGCCAACACAGGAGGCAAAAACAGAGTCGATAGAGGAAATGGAGTCTGTGATGCCCATAACAACAAGTCTCAACATGGTAGCCATAGCAACAACATATGTCCTACTAGAAGCTAGATTAACATAAATCTCCATACTAAAGTCCTACTTATCTCAGTTGTATTACCCTGTACAACATGGTTTTCAACAAGAAATAGAGTCTGAAAAGATAAATCAATCATCAGAACAAGACTAGATATGGCAGAGATGTTAGAACTATCAGAGAGAGAATTTTAAATAACTATGGTAATACTATTAAAGGTTCTAATGGATAAGAGAGTCATCATTAAAGATCAGGGAGGTAGTTTTAGCAGGTATGGAAGCAATAATAAAGATTTAAATGAAACTGACTTCTGTGTCCCTTTGACATGCCCCATCCTCATTCTTTGAGTATTTAACTTTCTGACACTATTCATCTTATATTTTCACTATCTCAGCCCTAGAATCAACATTTCTCCAAGCTGCCCTGGTTCTAAATGGTACTTGGAAAGCAAGACCTGAGCAGTGAGGGTGCTTATTGCTACTAAGGTATCATCATTTCTAATGTATACTAAGCCATGTATACATACCTATCTATATTTATTTCTGTATCTATATAGATAAATATATTAATTTAGGTATGAGTTCATACTTAGATGAAGTAGACAGGTGTCAATCTTAAAAGCTTCCACTGACCCAAGATAGCAAATCTGAATAACAAAATAGATTTTATAACTCAAAGTTTAAATAAATATATATATAAGTGCATTGATATAAATGATTAAATAAATGAGTGGAGGAAGAGAAATAAGTCTACCTCACAAAACAATTCCAAATACTATATATTAGACACTCCTCCCTTCAAGAGTCAGAGCTAAACATTCAACTCTTCCCTGCTTTGAGAGCTGTCTGGACTTAATGAATGACCTTTAAAGAATAGAGCATGCAAAGGGAAGAGGAGACACGTCACAGAGGAGGTACTTGTCTTCTAATACTGAGACCATGGCCTTAATCAAGTAATCAAGGTTAACATCACCAGAGATAAGTCATCCTGGGATAAGTCATATATCTGCTATGAGATTGGGAGAGTATTTTACCTAGGGAGTATTCTTTAAAAAACAAAAACAAACTGTAACCCCAGAATACTTATAAGAAAAACATCAGACCAACACAAATTGAGGGACATTCTATAAAATGCTTTGCCAGTGCCTCTCAAAATTAACAAGGTCATGAAAAACAAGGCAAGACTAGGTGCTATGGTCTGGTCTGCATGTGTCAAAAATTCACATGTTGAAATTCTAATGCTCCAATGTGACAGTATAAGGGGGGGGTGGCGCTTTGAGAGGTACTTAGATGGAGCCCTCATGAATAGAAAGTGCTGCTAGAAGAGACTCCAGAGAACAGAACTCCTTAACCCCTTCCATCATGTGAGGACACAGCGAGAACTTGGCAGACTACCACCCAGAAGAGGGTTTTCACCAGAATTTGACCATGATAGCATCCCAATATTTGACCTCCAACCTTCAGAATTGTGAGAAATAAATTTGTGCTGTTTACAAGATACCCTGTATTTTGTTACAGCAGCTTCAACAGACTAAGATACTAAGAAACTATGACATGTTTTAAAGGAAATATACTTCAGTCCATAAAGGGGCACCTACCCCAATCTTGGGTGAAGAGGAAAGTGAGGTGCAGTAGGAAAGGCTAATGTAGAAGTCATGTTTGAGTTAAGATCTGAAGAAGACGCAGGTTTTCACAAAGGTAGAGAAAAAAGAATGAAGGTGAGGGAAGAGTGTTCTACACAGAAGTTCTGGGGACGGGAAGGTGTGCAAGGCCACAGTATTGCACACAATAAACTTCAAGGAAGAGGTGACTTGCCCAAATAGATAGTACTGACCATTTTCTTCAGTTTCTTCTCTTGTCGCTTTTTCTCAAGTTGAGCTTCCTTTTCTTCTGCCTCCCTTTTCTGACGCTCTTCTTCTAGGGCTTTTAACTGGGCCTGATCAAGATTAAAATTCGTAGAAATGAGAACCTCAATTTTTACAGAAATGAGAGCTATACTAAGAAAAATCAAGCATCTACCAACATACCTATCCCGTTCTGGAAGAAGCCTACATTTTGCAATAAAAGTAGGAAACCTGACCAACAGGTGGTCAGTTGTGCAACTTAAAATCTTATCTAGAAGAATCCTGGTCTACTTAGGAGAAGGTAAGACTAAACATGAATAAGATCATTAATTTTTCATCATAAAAGAATTACTTTTTAGTTCTTATTTGCACCTGAGAAGTATTAAGCCCAAACTATATACAATATGGGAAAATTTTTTTTTCCCTTTCACTTCACCAAGCCAACCAACCAAACAAACAAAAAACAACCCAACCCCAAACTGTTGGCATATTTACTTTTTCTTAATAGGTGCAAAATTTACTTTTGACAGTCTGGGTCAAAATTTACAAAGTATCAGGTTGGACATCAATCTATAATACAAATCTTCCAATTTGTTGGCTCCCTTCAATTCTTCCTTCCTGCTACACTTAGGATGATGAAGATGCTTTCCCCCTTTATTTTTCTAAAATTGTCATAGAGAGTTCAGGTTAGCAGGCAAAAAGCTATTTTCAAAGTTGGTCTAACTCTGTTGTCATAAGAGAGCTAAACAAGCAAGTTTTCATGTTTTAACAAAGACCTATACAACTCCTTTTTCTTGCCTCAGTTTGCATTCTTGATTTATTACCAATTTCTCCTCTTCTTGTTTTTTCTTCCTCTCTGCCAAGATCCGCCTACGTTCAGCTCGCTGAGCTGCTCTCTCTTCCATGGCTAGAAAATAGTAACAGAGTTACAGTATCAAAGATATAAGGAATATTGAAAAAGAAATTTCTCCATTTTACAGTAAAAATTGTTATTGTTAGGATTTTCTTATAAGTTGAGTGTTCACAATTTCAGAAATATATGTAGCTACACATACATGTCTATGTACATGTCTGTATATATCATATGTATTTATTTAAATATGTAAATATATAAATATATTAAATACAGCTATATAAGATATAGATACTTATACCCTATAAGTTAAAGAACTATAATCTCATCCTCACTAATGATGATCAATTTTCAAATAAATTACGTTTTTGGTTACATTTCTATCAGAAAAACTGATTACTGGTTTAAATAAGATAATGTACCTAGATGATACTTGTAGTAAATAAAACTTAGATGCCAGGCTTTTAATTTGATGCTCCTGTAACACATGTAGAAAACTTTAATTACATCTAAAAAATATTTTGATAATAGTCACTTCTCAAATCCCATTAAGTTTGTTAATTTTTCCTAAGTCACTATACATATGTCTGTATATGTAACAACAACAACAAACAAACTAAAGTTTGGGGTCACAATGAATACATTTTAAACTAGTTTTAAGGGTTGTATATCCAGATGGGCAGGAAATGGAATTGTACTAGGCATTTGGAGAACTGGCATCTGAACAAATTTGAGTGTCAGACTCCTGTTCTTGACAGTCTATTAAATATCGATCCAAAAGAAGCAAATGTGCAAGATGGTCTGATAATATGACTCTGTCATCAGTCGGGGCTTTCATAGGAAGAGGGGCATGGGTGGGAGGAGTATCAAGTTCTGCTCACCTAAGTCAGCCAATAATTACTTTCAATTCTTTGTGCCATGTTATAGAGAAGAAAATGTAAGTCCAAGTTTTAGGAATTAGTAAACAAAAAACTCGCCAGGCTATTTCTTGCAGATATTAAGTGTCTGCTTTGCTGGAAAAAGAATCGTGGGGGTGCCAGAGAGAGTGGGAATGAGACCGTCTTTAAGGAGGCTGAAATAGACTAGAGGATTAAAGTGAAAGAGTCCTAAGCAGAGTCTCTGGTCATATGTCCTTTTCCCATCTTTTCTACAGCTACATGAAGGACTACTTGAAAATATACTGGGGTTCTGAGATATGCTAACTCCTTGATCAAATAGTAATTTGACTGGGCATTTTCCAATCATCCTCAGAGATGGAAAAAGATGGCATAAGCTGATGTCTTGGAAGTTAATGCAAAGACTGCCAGTCTCTCCATTAGTAGGAACTGAGCAGGGACAGTGTCCTTCAAGTGACATCATTTCTTGTAAGAACAGAGATCTTGCCACAAGTGAAAAATCAGATTTATAAACCACAATATAATTGTCAAAGTACCTAGCACATATTACAAACATGTATACTTTGTGACTATAGCAATGAGAACAATTAACAGATTCAGGAGATGAGTTGTAAAAATGTTTCAAAGCATTATTTGATACAAAAGGGATTTCTACTAGGTGCATCAAAAAAGCTATTAAAATGTCTGGCATATATTTCATTACTAAAAGCCTATGACCAAGACACAACTCATTCAAAATGATATAATAATGATGTAAATTGCTACAAACTGTTCAATACTTGTATATTAACAAAGCACAATGATAGGTGATTATTTTCAGTGTTTATCCTTAGCAGTTTCTCTGAGTTTTCTCATTTGTGTTATTGTTCCATTTTGTTTCTACAATCCAAATCTCAAATTTTAGAAAAATGACATCTTTCAGAAACGTGTGTGTGTGTGTGTGTGTTGGCTGAGAAGGCCAAAAAGTTTGGCAAAAGGGGTAGGAAAAAAGTCTTGTTTCTCTCTGGTAATTCCATTCCTCATGTGTTTACCCATCTCAAGTCTGACCAGGCTCTGCCAAGTCTCAAACCAAAGAGTTGCCAGAATTCAGTCCCAGCTACTCAAAGAGGGAAGACAAACACTGCCAGGCCACCCCCAAGACAGCCCTGCCTTTCAGTATGGAATGGGGTGCCATCAGCTGCCTTGGGTTCCTTCTGGATCCAGAAAGAGAATTTCGGGAGTCACTTCCACTGCCTTCAGTCCCAGGGGAAGTAACAGGCGAACTGGGGAGAAAAAAGCAAAAGAATTCAGACCATAACCAGATTTCTTCAAAGCCCTTTCACCGGAGAAACTCAGAGTTTTCATTAATCCTCACTCTCAGAGATAACTGTACACTATCACACATATTTTATAAAACTGATATAAAGAAGCAGGGAAAGTTGGTTGGCCTGTGTTTACAATGGGAGACAGGTGGTCTAACTCTCCTGAAGTACTTCAAACCAATAGTTACGACCCCTCCATATCCTACGCTTTATCACACATATTATTATGTCTCTGAAACTTTCTTAAATGGCTCTTGAGAAACTTGGACTCTTATTCCAGGGGCAAAGATGTTTACTTTTATCTAAAACAACTACAAATTTAAGCTAGGTAATTGGCCAGCCCAGGGGTAGTTCTATTTGGACCTGATATTTGTTCCACCTGGCTTCTCAGAACTAATATCATCAGAAAATCAGCAATCTAATTGGAGCAAGCAAACCTTTACTGGCATAATAACAGAACTCCTCAGACAAAGGCAAGCACAACAATGGTAGCCACTTGCCACTTGTATCTGGCATGAGCAAATCACATTTGCTTTAAGGATTCGCAATAAAAGGGGAGATTATGAAATCTGGAAGGCAGGCAAGAGAACCTCCCAGAGCTTCTTTACCAAAAAAGGAGAAACCCCTAATAAAGAGTCCAAAGAATGTTGTGATACAATGGACATACTTTGGAAGTAATTGAGGGGTTCTTTTTGGTTCTTCTTCTCTGGGGTTTGATAATAGGCGGCCCTGTGCCTCTGTGACTGATGCAGCACGCTCAGCTGCCCACCGAGCCTCTGCCAACCGCTGGCTTTCCTTCAATTCCAGAATTGTTTTCTGTTGTTCCTGAAGTTTCTTCTTTTGTTTTTCAATCAGCTGTTGCTGGAAGATATGGCGATTGTGGAAATGACCCATGCAAATAGGTTCTGATTTCTGACTGGTAGTTCTGAGTTTCTCACTGCCGCCAGGCTGTTGGGAGGGCTCAACATCCAGGGTCTTGTGCTGCTTATTGTCAGATGTGTTCTGAGGGACATTTTGGAGGGGAACCTGTATGCTGCTCTTTGTTGGTCGTCCCAATGGGGGGCTGAGCATAAAATCATTGCATTCTGATGGAGGCTTTTCCCACAAATGGGACATGGCAGTCACCTGAGAGAAGAGGAACACATTATAGCTTAGCCAGTTAAAAGGCTGTGCTGATGAGCTCCAACTCCATCTAGTCAGCACTGTTCTCTTCAAACAAGTGCACCCCAGAATTGCCCTGTGTTCCTGGCCTGGCTACCTCAGAAGCACTGGTCTTAGCTCTGTGAGTCACTCTTAGCCTGTGCAGTTCCACTCACCGTGCAAGCTGGGTAGGAGGGTGGTTATAGCTGTTCTCAGCATTGCTGTGGGTCAGGACATTTGCAAGAAGAAAAATGTGCTCTTATCAATTTCTAATTTGGACAGTATTTTATTTGTGAATTAGGTAAGATCACTCCAGATATATATTATAGGAGTTTAAATCTGTATGAATTAACTTTGAAATTTGCAGAGAATCAAAAATTTTTTTCTTAAAAATACTTGAAAACTAAGGAATCCTTTTACAGATCAGTAATAGCTCTGTTCTTTCAATGACTCTCCTGCTACTAGAAAATTAACCATAGGGTGTTCAGTTATTTCAGGGCCAAGGCCTAAATTAAAGCTTACAACTTCCAGTTATTCACAAATAATTTGGGGGAAGTATTTGCAAGCCCAGAATTATAGGCAAATATCTGTATTACTCAAGAATAATGTTATCTAATAACATTTTGTCTTAGCATATGGTTTAATCAGTTTTAAAAACTCTATCATATAAATCTCATTTAACAGAGACTGAGGTATTCAACTATAAGCTCTATACAGAAGGGAAGAGAACAGAATTCTTAACCAGAAAACTTATCCTGGCCAAAATAATGTCATAGTTAAAATGTCTCTTTTAAGAATGGTTTGATTCCATGGTCTAGGATCTGACCAGTTTTTGATTCTGCCATCTGCAGTGGCATAAGGAGAGAAATACTATGAACTATTTTACATCTTAGAAACTTCTAGCTTTAATGAGGTGCTATACTGAGGTACTCAAAAAATATTTTCATGATGATGGAAATATTTTCTATAGACTCAGTTAAAGTGAGAGAAGTGATATATTGAAATTCGGACAAGTTGCATATTTTTAAAAATAACCTCCTATTTCAAAAATGTTGGTGGACATTTATTCATGAGAACGAACACCTGCTTAAGTAATTTAGCGTCAAGCAGGGTATATGTTTTAGGCCATTTTAGACTCTGTGGTGGTACTACATTATTACCCCAGCAAGACTAAAAGCCTTGAATACAGGAACAAGATTTCCTTTGGATCATGTTAACTTCTTAAGGTAAAAATAAGAGAATGAAAGAAAAGCTTAATGATACAGGCTGTACTTAATGGGATAGGACTGACCATTCTGGTTTAATTGAAGAAAATCACCAACTAGCTAAGTGATAATTTTGAAAAAAATTCAAGGTATATGTGTTTCTGGTACATGAGTTCCTATGATTGTATAATTAATGAGCACCTGACTAAAGATTTTATATTTTCATTTGTTCATATTATATTCAATACTCTGGAAAAGACCAGACTTTAACTTGTAACCTATGGAGTCTATTATAGCCCTTTATTTTCATTTGCTCTATTTTTTACAATATTATCCTTTCTTGATAAAACTATTTGCTCTCAATTTCAGCAATTTAGAGGCTTTTTTCTTTAGCTTAATACATGTAATAATTTTTCTATTTTATGTAAGTAAAAAAAAATACTTCCTGCTGACTTTTCTTTTTCATGTAAAGCTAACAACAGTAGACCTTTGTAAGGTAAAAACTTCCACACAGCTATTTCCTAAGATAGAATATTTGCTTGAATCTCAATGGAAACAAAATTATCTAACTGACATAAAATATAGGTGGAGATATTGCCTTTATTTAGGGGAAGAGAACAAAATGTTACATAAATCCCAAGAAGGATCCTCACGATCCCCCTTTGCTGGGATACTACGCTTAAATTAAAACCACCCTGCTTGCTAGTAGTAATGAGGATAAACAGCAAGACTGGAGAAACTCTACTGCCCAATTTAACTTCACAAGTCTGAGTTAAGTACTTAACAGTATCTTGTGAAAGGATGGAAGGTCTAGGATAGAGGTGAGGGCATAGAGGACCTTCTCCAAAAGGCTTTTCAAACAAGGTAAGTATAATAGTGAAAGGAAAAACTGATAGGATTGATTTTATAAAAAGCTAACTGTGTATACTAAATACCATATATAAAACAAAAAGATAAGTGACCAAAAAAATCGCAAGGTATATAATAATAAAAGCATCACATCTTCGAAAATATAAAAAGCTCCAGTAAACAAGAAAAAAAATATACAATCATGTAGAAAAGTTACAAGGGGCACCAGGAAACAAGTCACTATATATCTATCTTTCCATATCTATTGTCATATATATATGTAAATGGACAATATAAAAATGTTTACCCTCCCTGATAATCAAGGAAATGCAAATTATGAATCAATAATAAAAATTGAAAATATTTTACCTGTCAACTTGGCAAAAATAAACATATGTCATCAGGTAGGAAAACAGGTACTTCTTTGGTACAGCCTTTCTGGAAGGGCACTTGGCAATAGCCTTTAAAATGTGCATTCTGGACCTCCCCAGTGGCGCAGCAGTTGAGCGCTGGGTTGCAAGGCTGCCTGCAGCCTCTGCAGCGCCGGTTTGATACCCGGCTGCTCCCTGGCCACCGGAGGAGGGTCCCACATGGCGCATAGACCTCTCCTGCTGCCTGATGCTCCCCTCAGCAGTGTACTTTGGTCCTTCTGCCTGCTCTGCTCCCTGCTCTGGCTCTGGTGAATTCTCTCGCCCCCCACTGAGCTTCTGATTGTACCCAGTGCTTGTATAAATGAATAAATAAATCTTAAAAAAAATAAATAAAATGTGCATTCTATTTTTAAGGCTTTATCCTAAATAAAGCATTATGGATATGTGCAAAGATTTAGCCACAAGGATGTTCACTGAAGCTTTGTTTACAAACATCTTAAATGTTCGCCAAAGGAGAGAAGGTAATAACATGGTAGCTTATGGTTTATGACAGTGTCATGCAACCATAACAAAATGATGCACAGAATGGCAGTCTTTAATCAGAAGCTGTTCATCAGCTTCATCTGTGAAACTTAAATTTAAATACAGGTGCCCCACACCCAGAAAATCTGATTTAGAAGGTCTGATTCTGCAGTATACACTCAGTTGTGAATTACTGGTATGGAAGCAGATTTGGTAACATGGAGAATTCTCATGTTACATTGTGAAGATGTAAAAAAAAATTAGAAAAAATGACAATTATATTTTTAAGAAACAAACATGGGGGCCTCCTTGGTGGCACAAGGGGTTAAGAAGCTATCAGCAGCCACTGTAGCACGAGTTCCATTCCCGGCTAGGGAGTTAACCCACATGGCCCAGCAGACTCTCCTGTTTCGCCCGCTGCTCCCCTTAGCAGTGTATTCAGTGGATCCACTATTCTATTCTGCTCCCCTACTCTTCTCTGGTGATCCTCACTCACCTCACACCCAACCCACCCCCACCTCGGGCCTACACTCCAGTTCTTGTATGCATAAATAAATCTTTAGAAAAAAAAAGAAACAAACATAGCTTTCCTTTTTCAGTACTGTAGTAGACTAGTTATCCTCAATGGCTTGGCTGAAGAAAATTTAAAAACTGAATGAAATATAAAGAGGAAAAAATTGCATATGTTTGAGTAAAGACTGGTGGGCTACACACAACATATTATCAGTGTTATCACCAGCTGATGTATTTATAAGCTATTTTTCTTTTTAAAGTAATTTTCTTCTACTAAACTGCTACAATTAAGACATATGATTTTTCTCACTAGAAAAATAAAAAAAACTTAAACAACCCCTTCTTCTAAGCTACAAGCTCATTTAGAAAGGAAATGTCTAATGATCAAATCATAGGAGTTTCAAGAGTTGTGAACAATGCTTTATATATCTGTTCCTGAGTCTTTCACTTATTTAAAATTCCTTCTCTATATTATGTCCCTACCAAGTTTCAAGTATACCAAAGTTTAGATGTGCTTATAAAAGCCCAAGATTCAGGTCAAGAAAATAAACACTGCCTGAAAAAGAAACCTTTGTGCATTTATAGCCCCCCCATCCTTTGGACAGCCTAGGCAAGGCAGCTGGACAAAGGCTATCACACCCTAGGCTATACAAGAGCAAAGCTAAAATGCAAGTGTTTATTAAGGCAGAAGAACAAGTAAAGGAAAAACCGTACCTCTCCATTTCTTATAGGTGGATCCACTGTGGATGTTGCCTCCTCAAGTATACAGAAGCCCGATGACCCACTTGCACTGAGTTTCCCCAGTGATGCTGCCTTCAGCAGCTCATTCATTTTTCCTGGTTTCTTCCTTTGCTAGAGTTAGCTCTCTCTTTAGGATCTCTGCGCGATGCCAACGCTGCCATTCCGCAAAGCGCTGTCGGAGAACTTGTTTTCGGTTATACTCAGTGGCCAGTTGTTGTTTTCTAAGCAACAAAGCACTTCCATTAAAAAAGGGGAATCATTTATAGGTTGATAGTAAAAATGAAACAAATCTAAAGGAGTCCCAGAAATGCTCCATTTTATCCTTTTAGTTAAGCTAATAAAATACCCCACTGTACAGGGCTTTCTCTTAGAAGGCATTGATACCTGAAGACATTACCTCAGAAAAAGTCATATTCAATTTTTTTATTATAACAAAATAGTTTTTGAGAGCTTTTGGGGAGGGAAGAAGCAAAAAAGCAAAGGTATATAAATACGGATACATGAAGGAAGAAGTTAGTTATGCTGAGAAATCTAAGGAAGACAGAGGTTTGGGGAGAAAGAGGAACAAGACTTTTAAAAGTCAACGTCAAATTATGAAGGTGGATATTGCCAAAGAAGGGCTTGATAAGGGAAAGGATCTCTAAAAACAAACACTCACTTACTAAACCATAAACAGAATGAATGAAGGACTGCCTTGTGAAAACACTTGCTAAACACTAGACATGTGTAAAAGGCAAAGACAAGGCTCTCGCTCTCATGGAACTCACCCAGAGTCTACGGAGGGATAAGGTTCATTCTCTCCTACAGAAGTGTCCCTTTTATTCCTGGAATTTCATGAACATTAGGAGACATGACTGAGTGGAGTCAGGAACTGCCAACTACATTCCCTCCCTATTGGAATCTCCATTGGAACCACTTTGATGGCAGCCAGTAGAGACTTCAAGCATACAGGTCCTCGGTCTAACTGTAAGTTGATAATTCTGGCCCTGAAGAATTGAGCCAGAGAGTTTGGAACTTATGTCCCATCAGGGGTCAGTTTTGAGGTTAAAACCTTAATGTTCAGATGCGTGCTTGATTTTATCTTGTCAAAGATGACTTGAATAAGTTCTCTATAATACTATTTGCATATTTATTTCTGTTAAACATATAACGCTTAACTGTCCTCATGGACTCTTTGGGGTCGTATAAAAAAGTGATAAAGTTCTTAAGTCAAGGAGCTAGGAGAACATTTCTAGAGTTCTTTAATGTTTAAGTGACTTTTAAATATTTTTGATAGCCAACTACATTAAAAATTTTACCCTGTGATTCAATACACAAGTTTATGTGTGTATGTATGTATGAAACAAATGCATATCAAACTGAAGCAAGGGCCTCCCAGTGGCGCAGCGGTTGAGTGCTGGGTTGCGAAGCTGCCCGCAGCCTCTGCAGCGCCGGTTTGATCCCACTGCCAGGCAAGGGTCCCACATAGCACGCAGACCTCTCCTGCTGCCCTGCTCCCCTCAGCAGTGTACTTCGGTCCTTCTGCCTGCTCTGCTCCCTGCTCTGGCTCTGGTGAATTCTCTCACCCTCCCACGCTTCTGACTGTACCCAGTGCTTGTATAAGTAAATAAATAAATCTTAAAAAAAAAAAGAAAACATTAAAAAAAAAACTGAAGCAAAACTTTTACCAAACAATATTTGACCTTACTAACAGAGATGTACTCTGGTAAAGTTCATCTTGAGCCTGACTGATTTCAGGACCTAAAGATGGATTAAAATTCTTAGTTTGAAAAAGACTACTATTTATATTTTAACATGGTAAGTTTTATGCTATGTATCTTTTAACAGGATTAAAAATAAAGGTAAATAGAAATTTAAAAAAGACTGCTTTGAATCACAGAATTTAACCTATCAGAGGAGGTGGATGAAACAACCAATTCGTGAGAGTAGAGTCAATTGAAATAGTGGTTTTTATGATAATCACTAACAGCAACTCTGACTGCAGCATATTTATTATATTAATTGCTTCTTTATAATGCATTAATGGTTGGCACTCAATAAACAAATACTTGGTGATTGACCAACTGATGGATTTTGTAATAAAAACATACATGGCAATAAAGATAAATATATATACACACATATATAGCATTTTACTTTGATGCAAATAAGAAACTGAATAACCTTGAAATAAAAATTTAGAAGAAATAAGAGAAGTTAAGTCAGGTAGCAACATAGGTAAGGACAAAGGCCCACAAATATCAATGTATAAATAGTGAAACAAATGAAAATCCCTAGAACACTTTACTTAGGTAATGAACAATCATAAATTTCCACAGGATAGACGATGTATATTGTTCTAATGTGAAATTCAATTTTCATCACTCTGCTCAGAAGGGTGAGTATGAAATTTACCTGTTGTGTTAACTTCATGTTTTTATAGCATAAACAAACAAAAGCAACCCTGGAGGTTTAACTGTCAGGGAATAGATTATTTGCACACTATGGAAGAGACAAAGAGAATAGTATTCCTTAAGCCTCACAAAAAGACTAAACAGTAAAAAGTGGGTAAAAAATTGTATGTTCACTCCGTAATGGTCAAGGAGGGGATTTAAAAATGTAATTAAGATATCTATGTCTGCGGGTTGAAGAGGAAGGGGGGAATTCAAAAGCTAGGTTTCTACCTCCCTATTCCTGCTGTTCACTTCAGCAGCAACAATATTCTAGACTAGCCAATTTCTATATTTTCTAAAAGATGACCCTAAAACGTAAATACTGTTGAAAAGGATCAATCACTTAAACTTCTTAAAACCTAAAGAAATGGTTCCACTGGTCATAAAATGGACAGAGTTCCCATGTGGAAAATATCCTGCCTCGATATGCTTCCAAGCTGAAATTAGGGGGACTTTCTGGCAGGAGTATGTAAGTTATCATCACAATGATATAACTTCATGCAGAGAAAGGCTTCTCTAAAGACCTAAGAATATAAAGTATAACAGGATTCGATGGGAATTTAAACATGGACCATGCTGCTCAGAATCAACACCTCAAAAGATACTTGGTGACTGGTGCATATTCTAAAGCCTAGAGGCTAAAAGAACACTAACTCAATCTCACTACATATGGGGCAATGGCAAGCAGCTGCAAGTTTCTAAGCCTCAGATACTTCCTCAAAAATGGTTCTTCCCTTTATAAAAAAAGGTCCTACACTGCCTATATTGCACGGCTTTTTTTTTTTTTTTAATGATCTAGTATAAAGAAGCTATTAAAGAAAAAGAACCTACAAACAGAACAAATTCACACATAGGTATTATAATACCTTAGGACGAGACCACCAGATATCTGAAAGGTGTTTTGATTTTTTTAAAAGGAAATGAGAAGTGATAAATAAATAACCATATACTAGTGATCTAGTTGAGTGCCAAAATCTGACGCTGAACATAAAAACAGCTTTAAGGCTAACAGCTACCTGAGATGAGCAGGTTCAACAGGAATAAGATTGAATAAGCTAATGCATTCAATAATGCACCAGGCAGCCCCCAGAGAAATAGTGGAAGATAAGCGAATTCTGTTTTGTAGTGAGTCAGGCAATGCAAGTCTGGCCTTCTTGCTTCTCTGATAGATGTAGCAGGAGCTTTCCTAGCCTCAGACGCCATGCAGTTTCTAGCCTCTCTTGTGGATACGCAGGTGAGCACAGAAGGAAGGGCAATGGCACATGATTAACAGAAGTGCTCCAAAACTGATTACACAGAAGTATCCCGAAATCAGGAATGCCAGAAATGGGGGATACCTGACAGTCTATTTTCAACCCAGCCTCCACACCTCCATGCTAAACCTGTCAGGTTCACACCAGCCTGCCCATGTGTTGGTTTCCCAGTTTTTCTCTAGAATGAAAAAAACCTTCTCTTGAAAGGTGGAGCCCATGAACTCCTATTTTTAAGAAGCTCTTTGGGGGATGGTAATGCATGAGATCCAAGTTTATGTCATTCCTAAGTATTTATGGTGCTTTCTGTTGCAATTATTTTTAGTATTTGGGAACAATCTTTGATTTCTCCACTTAGATCAAAAGCTCCAAGAAGGCAAAAATGTTTAGCACTTTTGTAGTCCTCCTCTTACTTAGGAGTCTAGTACACAGGAAGCATCAGTAAAGCTGGCTTAATGAATACACTCTATCAAACAGAATGAGTGAATGAATGAATGAGTGAATGTCAAGGTTTGAGGGATGTCAAGGTGCTATTTTTTCCACTGGCCTGCCACAGTGCTCTCAAATCCCCATCATTTATATTTTGGGTATTGTTTCCAGCAGCTGATTGCTAAAGTGTAAGTTTCCTAGGAGGGATAAAGTATCCCTTTACAGTAACAAGGCATGAAACTCTTTAGGAAAAAGGGGAAGAAATAAAATGCATCTCACATGACAGCCTAGAACACTGGGTGCAGGACTGAATGGACAGTGAAGGTCACTACATGAAAGGACAGAGATGCTTCCTGTCCTGAGAAATAAGGGAAGTGAGTCTTAGGAAGGGCTCATGGAGGATGATGAACACAACCCTGCTTCTTCCCAATTTTGTCTAGGGTTTGCTGTACATCTAGGAAAGAAGGGAAAGGGGAGGAATGCAAGATATGTAAGCAACTTCCAAAGTGAATATGCTGAGGAAATTCAAAATACAGTTCATATTTCAATACCACCATGGCAAAGGGCCTAACATAGTGTGTGTAGCAGAATTTTGTTGTATTACCTAAGTAAGGGAAGCCTCAGTTAGGGCTTGGGATATTTGTTAATGTTGAAGTTGTATTACAAAACTGAATTGAAATTTTATAATACCATTACCATAACTATATATTTTAAAAGATAGATAAAAATGGAAGGAAGGGAGGCAGGAAGGGACGAAGGAAGGAAGGAAGGAATTAAGCAAGAAGCCCCAAAGGTTCGGCCCTGCATAGGGGACATGCCAGTGAGGAGAAACCCCAGATGGCAAAAGCAAATGTAGATGCAAAAGCTGGAGGATGAGGATACAGTTGACATCTGAGTAATGGGCATAGCAAATGATTGCAAGTTGAGGTAGATGAGCCACAGAACCAGCTATGTTTGGTCAATCTGGTAAGAGCTGAGTTACTACAATGAGTAGCCAAGTATATAAAAATGCTCTCTAGCCCTTCAGCATGCTAGAAAAAAAAAGTGCTTGAAACA